GAGTCTAGAGCGGCTAGACTAGAGTGGAGAGTGTAGAGCAGCTAGACTAGAGTGGAGAGTCTAGAGCAGCTAGACTAGAGTGGAGAGTCTAGAGCGGCTAGACTAGAGTGGAGAGTGTAGAGCAGCTAGACTAGATTGGAGAGTGTAGAGCAGCTAGACTAGAGTGGAAAGTCTAGAGCAGCTAGACTAGAGTGGAGAGTCTAGTGCAGCTAGACTAGAGTGGAAAGTCTAGAGCAGCTAGACTAGAGTGGAGAGTCTAGTGCAGCTAGACTAGAGTAGAGAGTCTAGAGCGGCTAGACTAGAGTGGAGAGTCTAGAGCAGCTAGACTAGAGTGGAGAGTCTAGAGCGGCTAGACTAGAGTGGAGAGTCTAGAGCAGCTAGACTAGAGTGGAGAGTCTAGAGCGGCTAGACTAGAGTGGAGAGTCTAGTGCAGCTAGACTAGAGTGGAGAGTCTAGAGCAGCTAGACTAGAGTGGAGAGTCTAGTGCAGCTAGACTAGAGTGGAGAGTCTAGAGCGGCTAAACAAGAGTGGAGAGTCTAGAGCAGCTAGACTAGAGTGGAGGTCTAGAGCTAGCTAGACTAGAGTGGAGAGTCTAGAGCAGCTAGACTAGAGTGGAGAGTCTAGAGCGGCTAGACTAGAGTGGAGAGTCTAGGCAGCTAGACTAGAGTGGATAGGTCTAGAGCAGCTAGACCTAGAGTGGAGAGTCTAGTGCAGCTAGACTAGAGTGGAGAGTCTAGAGCCGCTAGACTAGAGTGGAGGTCTAGTAGCCGCTAGACTAGAGTGGAGAGTCTAGAGCAGCAGACTAGAGTGGAGAGTCTAGAGCAGCCAGACTAGAGTGGCGAGTCTAGAGCGGCTAGACTAGAGTGGAGAGTCTAGAGCAGCTGAGACTAGAGTGGAGAGTCTAGAGCAGCTAGATAGAGTGGGAGGTCTAGTGCAGCTAGACTAGAGTGGAGAGTGAGAGGTTAGAGCAGCTAGACTAGAGTGAGAGTCTAGTGCAGCTAGACTAGGAGTGGAGAGTCTAGAGCAGCTAGACTAGAGTGGAGAGTCTAGAGCAGCTAGACTAGAGTGGAGAGTCTAGAGCAGCTAGACTAGAGTGGAGAGGTCTAGAGCGGCTAGACTAGAGTGGAGAGTCTAGAGCGGCTAGACTAGAGTGGAGGTCTAGAGCAGCGAGACTAAGTGGAGAGTCTAGAGCAGCTAGACTAGAGTGGAGAGTCTAGAGCAGCTAGGACTAGAGTGGAGGCAGGCTAGACTAGAGTGGAAGTCTAGCGCTAGACTAGAGTGGAGAGTCTAGTGCAGCTAGACTAGAGTGGAGAGAGTCTAGAGCAGGCTAGACTAGAGTGGAGAGTCTAGAGCAGCTAGACTAGAGTGGAAGAGTCTAGAGCAGCATAGACTAGAGTGGAGAGTCTAGAGCGGCTAGACTAGAGTGGAGAGTCTAGAGCGGCTAGACTAGAGTGGGAGAGTCTAGAGCAGCTAGACTAAGTTGGAGAGTCTAGAGCAGCTAGACTAGAGTGGAGAGTCTAGAGCAGCTAGACTAGAGTGGAGAGTCTAGAGCGCTAGACTAGAGTGGAGAGTCTAGAGCAGCTAGACTAGAGTGGAGAGGTCTAGAGCAGCTAGACTAGAGTGGAGAGTCTAGAGGCAGCTAGACTAGAGTGGAGAGTCTAGAGCAGCTAGACTAGAGTGGAGAGTCTAGAGCAGCTAGACTAGAGTGGAGAGTCTAGAGCAGCTAGACTAGAGTGGAGAGTCTAGAGCAGCTAGACTAGAGTGGAGGGTCTAGAGCAGCTAGACTAGAGTGGAGAGTCTAGAGCAGCTAGACTAGAGTGGAGAGTCTAGAGGCAGCTAGACTAGAGTGGAGAGTCTAGAGCAGCTAGACTAGAGTGAGAGTCTAGTGCAGCTAGACTAGAGTGGAGAGTCTAGAGCAGCTAGACTAGAGTGGAGGGTCTAGAGCAGCTAGACTAGAGTGGAGAGTCTAGAGCAGCTAGACTAGAGTGGAGAGTCTAGATCAGCTAGACTAGAGTGGAGAGAGCAGCTGGACTAGAGTGGAGAGTCTAGAGCAGCTAGACTAGAGTGGAGAGTCTAGAGCAGCTAGACTAGAGTGGAGAGTCTAGTGCAGCTAGACTAGAGTGGAGAGTCTAGAGCGGCTAGATTAGAGTGGAGAGTCTAGAGTAGCTAGACTAGAGTGGAGAGTCTAGAGCAGCTAGACTAGAGTGGAGGGTCTAGAGCAGCTAGACTAGAGTGGAGAGTCTAGAGCAGCTAGACTAGAGTGGAGAGTCTAGAGCAGCTAGACTAGAGTGGAGAGTCTAGAGCAGCTAGACTAGAGTGGAGAGTCTAGAGTAGCTAGACTAGAGTGGAGGGTCTAGAGCAGCTAGACTAGAGTGGAGAGTCTAGAGCAGCTAGACTAGAGTGGAGGGTCTAGAGCAGCTAGACTAGAGTGGAGAGTCTAGAGTAGCTAGGACTAGAGTGGAGAGTCTAGAGCAGCTAGACTAGAGTGGAGAGTCTAGAGTAGCTAGACTAGAGTGGAGGGTCTAGAGCAGCTAGACTAGAGTGGAGAGTCTAGAGCAGCTAGACTAGAGTGGAGGGTCTAGAGCAGCTAGACTAGAGTGGAGAGTCTAGAGCAGCTAGACTAGAGTGGAGAGTCTAGAGCAGCTAGACTAGAGTGGAGAGTCTAGAGTAGCTAGACTAGAGTGGAGGGTCTAGAGCAGCTAGACTAGAGTGGAGAGTCTAGAGTAGCTAGACTAGAGTGGAGAGTCTAGAGCAGCTAGACTAGAGTGGAGAGTCTAGTGCAGCTAGACTAGAGTGGAGAGTCTAGAGCAGCTAGACTAGAGTGGAGAGAGACGCTAGACTAGAGTGGAGAGTCTAGTGCAGCTAGACTAGAGTGGAGAGTCTAGAGCAGCTAGACTAGAGTGGAGAGTCTAGAGCAGCTAGACTAGAGTGGAGAGTCTAGAGCAGCTAGACTAGAGTGGAGAGTCTAGAGCAGCTAGACTAGAGTGGAGAGTCTAGAGTAGCTAGACTAGAGTGGAGGGTCTAGAGCAGCTAGACTAGAGTGGAGAGAGACGCTAGACTAGAGTGGAGAGTCTAGTGCAGCTAGACTAGAGTGGAGAGAGACGCTAGACTAGAGTGGAGAGTCTAGTGCAGCTAGACTAGAGTGGAGGGTCTAGAGCAGCTAGACTAGAGTGGAGAGTCTAGAGCAGCTAGACTAGAGTGGAGAGTCTAGAGTAGCTAGACTAGAGTGGAGGGTCTAGAGCAGCTAGACTAGAGTGGAGAGTCTAGAGCAGCTAGACTAGAGTGGAGGGTCTAGAGCAGCTAGACTAGAGTGGAGAGTCTAGAGTAGCTAGACTAGAGTGGAGGGTCTAGAGCAGCTAGACTAGAGTGGAGAGTCTAGAGTAGCTAGACTAGAGTGGAGAGTCTAGAGCAGCTAGACTAGAGTGGAGAGTCTAGAGTAGCTAGACTAGAGTGGAGGGTCTAGAGCAGCTAGACTAGAGTGGAGAGTCTAGAGCAGCTAGACTAGAGTGGAGGGTCTAGAGCAGCTAGACTAGAGTGGAGAGTCTAGAGCAGCTAGACTAGAGTGGAGAGTCTAGAGCAGCTAGACTAGAGTGGAGAGTCTAGAGTAGCTAGACTAGAGTGGAGGGTCTAGAGCAGCTAGACTAGAGTGGAGAGTCTAGAGCAGCTAGACTAGAGTGGAGGGTCTAGAGCAGCTAGACTAGAGTGGAGAGTCTAGAGTAGCTAGACTAGAGTGGAGAGAGACGCTAGACTAGAGTGGAGAGTCTAGTGCAGCTAGACTAGAGTGGAGAGAGACGCTAGACTAGAGTGGAGAGTCTAGTGCAGCTAGACTAGAGTGGAGGGTCTAGAGCAGCTAGACTAGAGTGGAGAGTCTAGAGCAGCTAGACTAGAGTGGAGAGTCTAGAGCAGCTAGACTAGAGTGGAGAGTCTAGAGCAGCTAGACTAGAGTGGAGAGTCTAGAGTAGCTAGACTAGAGTGGAGGGTCTAGAGCAGCTAGACTAGAGTGGAGAGTCTAGAGCAGCTAGACTAGAGTGGAGGGTCTAGAGCAGCTAGACTAGAGTGGAGAGTCTAGAGTAGCTAGACTAGAGTGGAGAGTCTAGAGCAGCTAGACTAGAGTGGAGAGTCTAGTGCAGCTAGACTAGAGTGGAGAGTCTAGAGCAGCTAGACTAGAGTGGAGAGAGACGCTAGACTAGAGTGGAGAGTCTAGTGCAGCTAGACTAGAGTGGAGAGTCTAGAGCAGCTAGACTAGAGTGGAGAGAGACGCTAGACTAGAGTGGAGAGTCTAGTGCATGGTCCATCGATGGCCTCATGTTAGTTATCAGCGGCCGTCTGGAACGCTCTTCCGTCCGATATTCGGAAGCCATTGTAGCTATGCACTTTTAAATCCTGTAGATTGACAAACTCATTTCTTTAAAGCTGCTTTGTGTGTGTTTAGTTTGTTGACCTCCCCCCCCCCCCCCACCGGCACCTCCGATTAGTGCGGTTGGCTACGTACGGTTGTGCGAAAGAAGTTCAACATCCTGGACATAACATTTTCCTGAAAGTTTTGAAAACTGCCCCTCAACCGGCTGACCACTTCAGAATCAGACTCTTTATTTCGACTGCAGGAGGAATCCCCGATGAGCTGTGAAGTTGTTTTCTTTTTTAATCACAGATGACCAACATGGGCGGGTCAGCAAGTTACACAAGCCAGCAATACGCGCACACAAAACAAAATCGGAGTGCAAAATAGGAAAAAAATGCGCAAAAATATCAGTAATAAATACATTACAACGTCGAACTATCGATAGCGCACGGGCGATGAACCAACGTTGCAAGTCGCGTTAACCCTTGACCCCCGTCACCCCTCCCCCCCCCCCCCCCGTGACGACCCCTGCCGGGCAGACGTGGCAGTGCTGGGGTCGACGGTGTCGCCCTCCTCGTCCTCCCTCCTCGTCACCGTCCTCTCCTGCTCGGGCATCGTCGTCTTCCTCGTCCTCGTGCTCGCCTGCTCCTGCTGCCACCGCTCGGGAGTGCGCTTCAAGGTGGGGGCGCCGTCGGCGGGGTCACGTCGGGGGGGGGTCACGTCGGCGGGGGAGGTCACGTGAGGGGTTACGCCAGGGTCACGTTGAGATCACGCAGAAGTGACGCCGGGGTTATGAAGGGGTCAAGTCGGAGTCACGTCGGGGTCATACCAGGGGTCATGTCAGGGGTCACGTTGGGGTCATGCCAGGGGTCATGCCAGGGGTCACGTTGGGGGGGATCACGTCGGAGGGGGTCACGTGAGGGGTTACGCCAGGGTCACGTTGAGGTCACACAGAAGTGATGCCGGGGTTATGAAGGGGTCAAGTCGGAGTCGCGTCGGGGTCACGCCAGGGGTCACGTCAGGGGTCATGTCAGGGGTCACGTTGGGGTCACGCCAGGGGTCATGTCAGGGGTCACGTTGGGGTCATGCCGTGCCACATCAGGGGTCACGCAGGGGTCACGACGGGGTCACAGGGATGAGGGGTAAAACGTCGAAGTCATGGGGTGGAGAGGGGGGTGTCAGCGGTCCAGGTCGTCATCAGCCACGGTCAGTCCGTGGCTGGATGAAGGCGCCACGGCGGTGTGGCGATGTTGCACGCTGCGCTACGAACCCGGCGACCCAAGGTCAAGTCCCGCTCACGGCCAGAATCTAAACCTTTCCCGAGTGGTGCTGCCTAGTTTAGCGCGTTGCGCTAGGAACTTCATCACCCGAGTTCGATTCCCGCTCACGGCCAACACCAGTGACGATTACCTGAACCGGTCCTGGGCCTCCCCTATGTCGACGCAGCCTCAAATGAGTACCTGGTGCGGTGTGTAAACATCGGCACTGTGGAGACAAAGGCGGTCAGCATGGTGCTGGCTACCCATCTCCTCGTGTGCCGTGAAGGCATTCCTAGGTTCATAATCAACGTTTTTGGGTTAGATCGCGTTATTTATAAATGTGTCGTAACCCTCCACCACTCGACACGGCCAATCAGCCACGTGGACAAAAGACAAATAGTTAACTGTTTTAGCCCACCGGTGTGTTGAAGCGTGAAACCACAACATTTACAATGTTTTGAGTACGACGTTTCGCCGGTAATTGCATCCAGCATCATCGGGCACTTCGCCCGATGATTATGAATAATATTGGTTGCGAAAGCCTACGTGTTAAGCATTTATAGGTGTTCGCTAACAGCACTTGCTCCAACAGTGTGTTAAGGCTATAGGGGGGGTCTTTGTCTTCGTGCCAATTGTGCCAAGGGCACAGTGGGAAGTACATGGGGTCAACCGATAACACGCGGGATTGCCTTTATTTCGAATGGGAATCAGAATATTTATTTATATTGGAGAAATCCGAAGAGCTGTAAAGCTCTTTTTCCCAGATGTCCTGTAGGGGCGAGTCAGAACGTTACAACAAGAAATAGAAAAACGCGATCGGAGTGCAAAGAAAAAGAAAGGTACGTAGATGACACGTTCGTCATCTGGCCACATGGCCGACCAGCTCTGAACCAATTCTTCAACCACATCAATTCCACACACCCAGCCATCAAATTCACAATGGAGGTGGAAAAGGATGGCAAGCTACCTTTCTTGGATGTTCTAATCGAAAAGAGACCATATGGCTCAATGGGACACTGTTTACAGGAAAGCCACCCATACGGATGCATATCTAAAACTTGACTCCCACCACCATTCATCCCAGAAGAATTCCCTCATCAAAGCTCTAAACCATAGAGCTCGATGTATTTCCGACTGTCATCACCAGTGAACTGGAACACATACACCAAACTTTCAAGATGAATGAATATTCAGACTACATAGTCCGTAAAGCTATCACCCCAACCGTTGGGAAAGAACCATCTGAGGACCGAATCAAAACCATCACCTTGCCATACATAGCAGGGGTCATTAAAAATATTTCCAAAATCATGAGCAAACAGAAGATCCAGGTTCGATTCAACACAATACATAAAATTCGTGATCTGATCCTATCTGTGAAGGATGTGATCCCTGACATACAATACCCCGGCGTCTACAAAACTAAGCTGTGCCTACGGCAGTAGTGACATTGGGGAAACTAAGCGACATGTCTCGGACCGTGTTCGTGAACACAAGGCAAATCTGAAACACGGTAGGACCAATACCTCGGCCGTGGCTGATCATTGTTTTAATGGGGTGGGCTCACACGAAATTGATTTCTCTACGATGAAGGTACTTTGCAAGCCCACTGGCTATCAACAAAGATTCGTTCATGAAGCCATCCATATATTTCGACACAGACACAATTTCAACCGAGAAGATGGGTACAAACTGAGCAATCATCGGAAGGACGTTATCGACCAGTTTAAATCATAACTGGCAGTGATGTTCCCATCCAACCACCAATCCAATGTTAGTTGTGCTCTACGCCCATTTCAAACTTGCGCTTTCACAGGATTCACACCAACACAGCCACTTCGCGTGCCGACCCCTCAGTTGCGGCTTTGTGATCTCCCATTAACAAGATAATTTCCCATTAACTTGTCAGCAGCCAATGACACTGTATTGTCATTGGCTGCTGACATTTGGGCTACGCCCATTTCAAAACCCTTACAAACAGTTTGCCTTTAGAAGCTAACCCCCCTTTTCCTGAAGACGACCGCTTGTGTTGCGATCGAAGCGTCGTCGTTTTAGTTTTTTGTTATTTTCTTTGAACCCATCTACGTGGCTTTACCGAAAGACCCAAAGAATATGTAAATAAATCAATTTAAAAAAAATATACAAATAAAACTAAACAATTTTTAGTTGTTTTTACCAAGTAAGACCCACTGAGCTATTAGTTTGTTTTTTCAGAAGCGACCTGGCCACACATGATAGCTCAACGAAGTGAAAGTTTATGGCGTGGACATTTATCGCAGCACAACAACGACGTGGACCCATTGAGACGCGTCAAACAGCAATTGCCTCTCGTGTGCAACGGAGATCTGGGTTACGTGAAGTACATTTAAGCACGCGAGTTTAAATATATATACGCAGTACATTTGTAAATGTAACAAAGGCAGTCTGACTCGAACAATGATCGAATATAAATCTGAATGAGGCTACGTAAGGAGGTGAATTGCACTGCGAGAGAGGAAATAAAATGCGCACGAAATATAATTTCAATTCTGAAAGGATTGAGAGTGACTCAATCGGGCAAAGTTGAGGCGACTGAGATTTTTTTTTTAGCTCAACGAAGTGTTACAATTACATTTAAAAAAACGTGTGCAAAGTAGCAATGAACACATTCCTGCGGAGAGAGCTGGTAGGAAGGTTTGGTTGCTCGGTCAATGGCCAGGGTCAACGGCGGCGTGGTGTATTCCGCAAATATGTCAGACTGTGAGGGCGGGCACAAGCCGGCGTGAGTAGGTTAAACGTTGAGTTTTATAAGGGCACCACGGGGTGACCAGCCCCTCCCCTCCCAGACCCACCCATCCCACCTCCCACCCTCCCCACCCAGCCCAGCCCCTCCCCACCCTCCCTTCCTCACCCAGCCACCACCCTCCCCACCCAGCCCCTCCCCACCCTCCCCTCCCCACCCAGCCCCTCCCCACCCAGCCCCTCTCTCCCCACCCCACCCTCCCCTCTCCACCCAGCCCCACCCCACCCATTTTTGCATGCACGACGGACGGACGGACACAATAATCTCCTGTGAGCTGGTGGAACCAGGAGGTTCTTCAATAGTGAATGTTTATTGTAGCATAGTTTGGAAGCGTAAAGTCGACTTACATTTTGTCGGACGTGCCGAAGAAATCAATGAAGGCACCAAACGCACCGTGATTCGGCGTCGAATCATTTATCGCCTTCGCTTTCTGTAAAGATACGTGAAATCGAAAGCGAATTTGCGTAAATAATTATATTATAGCCGCTCGACATTCTTCTGCGTTCGTCAACAAATCCAGGCACACGTGAATAATAATGAGGGGGGGGGCGCATGTAGAGTGACGTCACGCGCGGGACACACACACACATCCTTCTTTGGATCGTTATATTAGTTGCTGCGTTGATTTCTTTATAAGCTTTACTTTCCATGAAGAAAGGTCAGAAAATAATTTGCGTAAACAAATTTTCGTTTCCGCTCCACCTTCATGTGGAGTGACGTCACCCGCTCATGATTATTCATGAGGGGGGCTGGTCGACGTGAAGTGACGTCACGCGCGTTACACACAGACATTCTCGGCTCATTATACTAGTAGAAACATTTTTGTTATCATTTTAATACTGCCGAAAAAAAAGATTCCCATCGATAGCACTTGCCCCAACGGTCTGCGAAGGCTACACGGTGTGGTTGGGTGGGTGATCTTTGCCTTCGTGCGTGTGCGTGCGCGTCCACCTTGCGCAGGAGTTTGAGAACACGGACGTGGAGGACGAGGAGGCCGCGGGCTTCAGCCCCCCCGCCTCCGAGCTGCTGCCCTCGTCTCCGTCCACGCACGACGTCTACGTGCTGCCCCTGGCCAACCTCTCGCACGGAGGGCAGCAGCAGCAGCAGCCCGCTGGCGGTACGCGGCGCGAGACGCGGCACGGTTAGACGGGACACGGTCAGACGCGGCACGGTCAGATGTGACACGGTTAGACGCGACACGGTTAGATGTGACACGAGACGTGACACGGTTAGATGTGACACGGTTAGATGTGACACGGTTAGATGCGACACAGTTAGACGGGACACGGTTAGATGTGACACGGTTAGATGTGACACGGTTAGACGCGACACGGTTAGATGGGACACGGTTAGACGTGACACGGTCAGATGTGACACGGTTAGACGCGACACGGTTAGATGTGACACGAGACGTGACACGGTCAGATGTGACACGAGACGTGACACGGTCAGATGCGACACGGTTAGATGTGACACGGTTAGATGGGACATGGTCAGACGCAGCGCGACGCGACGCAGACATGACGAGACGTGACACGTCAGGACACGACGAGACACGAGACACGGCCAGACATGATGAGGCACGGCGAGACACGTGACACGGTCAGACATGATGAGGCACGGCGAGACGCGAAGAGACACGACACGACCAGACGCGATACAAGGAGACGCGACCAGGGTGTCCACCTCTCAACAGCGATGAGGTTGGGGGTGGATGGGGGGAGGGTTGGAATATTTTCTGGAGCTCAGCACCCGAACAGATCCAGATACAAAGTGAAGCTCTGCTTGTTCCCATTAGAGACGCGTAGTGAAGCTTATTGGGGCGCTGCGGTGGCGAGATGTTAACTACCTCGCCTGATATGCAGGAGGTCGTGGGTTCGACCCCGACCTTGACGCCTGCTGTATAGTTGGAGTTTGCGTGTCTCTCTCTCCCCGTGGTCGCGTGGATTTTTCTCCGGGTCCTTCGGTTTCCCCCCCATTGAGGATCAACGTCACGCGTTTAGAGTATTTTGCCGCTGTACATGTCCACGCGATAAGCCACTTCGTGTGGACTATCATTTTTGGTAGCCAGGTCGCTTCTAAAAAATAAGGTACATAGCTCAGTGGGGGCCTTACCTGGTAAAATTCAAATCGTTTCTTGTTTCCATTCGTGAGGGTCTCCACCTTTCGTTTGATGTAAAAAGAAACTCATCAGGAGAATCAGATATGTGTTCTTTTTTATGACCCTGGGTTCAAGAATTCCTCGGCCCTCACGCAAATCACGTTTTTTTTGCATGTTTTTGCCACAAGTACGTGTGTTGAATGCAGACTCGATTCCTTGCAAAGAGTTCCAATTTGGTGTTTGAGCATTGCCAGAAAGGGTAAAAGCTATCCTTCATTCCTCATACTTTGACACTGGCAAAAACTGAAAAAAAGTCCCATTGATCATGACAGTTTGGAGACTGCACGCCGTGCTACCATTTGCGGAGCCGCTACGATTTGAAATGTCAAAATGCTTCTGGGACGAAGCAGTTCTTTTTATTTAAATTGGCACTTCGTGGCTGTTTCCTTTGTTAACTCTGCCTCGTGCAACGCTGCCAAAGCAGCAGCAGCATCACTAAATAATGTATTAATGTATACTTTTCCGGTTACTTTTATTGTCGATGCTGCAACCGCGGTGGCAGCGGTGCACCACTACAAACAACAACAACAACAACAATAATCACTCGGCGGCATAAAAATAAAAGAAACGCGCGGATACAAGAATGGGCGACGTTTTTGTGGACAATGATTACGCCACACCGCGGCACCCCCTGGTGGCAACCCCCACGCCAAACCCCACGCCAAACCCCACGCCAACCCCCACGCCAACCCCCACCCCAACCCCCACCCCAACCCCCACGCCAACCCCACGCCACCCCCACCCCAACCCCCACCCCAACCCCCAGCGCCCAACCCCCACGCCAACCCCACGCCAACCCCCACCCCAACCCCCACCCCAACCCCCACCCCAACCCCCCACGACGCCAACCCCCCCACCCCAACCCCCACCCAACCCCCACCCCACCCCCACTCCAACCCCCACCCCAACCCCCACTCAACCCCCACCCCAACCCCCACGCCAACCCCCACGTCCAACCCCCACCCCAACCCCCCACCACCCCCACCTCGCCCACCCCAACCCCCACACAACCCCCCACCCCAACCCACCACGGCTAGCCAACCCCCACCAAACGCCGCGGCACGTCCAACCCCCACGCCAACCCCCACGCGGACCAACCCCACCCCCAAAGAAAATTCCACGCCACCCCACCCCCCCACCGCCAACCCCCACCCAACCCCACTCCACCCCAACCCCACCCCCACGCCAACCCCACCCCAACCCCAACCCCAACGTCACCCCCGCAACCCAACCCCCACCCCAACCCACCCCAACCCCCACCCCCCGTTCAACCCCCCCCCAACCCCCCACGCCAACCCCCACCCTACCAACCCCCACCCCACTTCAAACCCCCCCCCCAACCCCCACGCCACCCCCACAGCCAAACCCCCAACACCCATACGCCAACCCCTCACTGCAACCCCCACTCAACCCCCCTCCACCCCCACTCCAAACCCACTCCACCCCCACTCCAAACCCCACGCCCAACCCCCACTCCAACCCCCACCACACCCCACCCCAACCCCTCCCCTCCCCAACCCCCACGCCAACCCCCACCCCAACCCCCACCCCAACCCCACACCCAAACCCCACCCCCACCTCCACTCCAACCCCCACGCCAACCCCCACACCCACCCCCAACCACGCCAACCCCCACCCAACCCCCACTCCAACCCCCACCCAACCCCCACTCCACCCCACCCACACCCACTCCAACCCCCACGCCAACCCCCACCCCAACCCCCACCCCAACCCCACCCACCCCACCCAACCCCCACGCCAACCCCCACCCCAACCCCCACCCCAACCCCCACCCCAACCCCCACTCCAACCCCCACGCCCAACCCCCACCCCAACCCCCACCCAACCCCCACGCCACCAAACCCCACCCCAACCCCCACCCCAACCCCCACCCCAACCCCCACTCCAAACCCCCACCCCAACCCCCACCCCAACCCCCACCCCAACCCTCCCCCAACCCCCACCCCAACCCCCACTCCAACCCCCACTCCAAACCCCACGCCAACCCCCACCCCAACCCCCACTCCACCCCCACCCCAACCCCCACCCCAACCCCCAACCCCCACTCCAACCCCCACCGCCAACCCCCACCCCAACCCCCACTCCAACCCCCCACTCCAAACCCCACGCCAACCCCCACCCCAACCCGCCACTCCCAACCCCCACTCCAACCCCCACCCAACCCCCACCCCAACCCCCACCCCAACCCCCACGCCAACCCCCACCCCACCCCCTGACCCCCACCCAACCCCAACCCCAACTCCCACCCCAACCCCACCCCAAGACTCCCACTCCAACCCCCACGCCCAACCCCCACACTCCAACCCCCACTCCAAACCCCCACGCCCAACCCCCCACCCCAACCCCCACGCCAACCCCTCCCTCCACCCCCACCCAACCCCCACGCCAACCCCCACAGCCAACCCCCAGCCCACACCCCCACCCCAACCTCCACCCCAACCCCACCCCAACCCCCACCCCAACCCCCCACCCCCACCCCCCCACGCCAACCCCACGCCAACCCCCACCCCAACCCCCACAATCCAACCCCCACTCCACCCCACCCCAACCCCCACCCAACCCCCACGCCAACCCCCAACCCCCACGCCCAACCCTCACGCCACCCCCACCCCAACCCCCACCCCAACGCCCCCACTCCAACCCCCACCCCGAACCCCCACCCCACCCCCAACGCCCAACCCCCACCCCAACCCCCACTTCCAATCCCCCACTACACCCCCCCACCCCACCCACCTCACCCAAAACCCCACTCCAACCCCCACCCGAACCCCCACCCAACCCCACCCTAACCGCCCCACCCCAACCCCCACTCCAACCCCCACCTCCCACCCCTACTCCAACTCGCCGCCCCCAATCCCCCAACCCAAACCCACCACCCAACCCCCCCCCCACCCCCACCCCAACCCCCACCCCAACCCCCACTCCAACCCACACTCCAACCCCCACCCCAACCCCCAGCCCCAACCCCCACCCCACCCCCCTCCAACCCCCACCCCAACCTCCTACTCCAACCCCCCCCCAACCCCACCCCAAACCCCACCCAACCCCCACATCCAACCCCCCACCCCACCCACCCACCCCAACCCCCACTCCAACCCCCCCCCACCCCCCACCCAACCCCCACGCCAACCCCCACCACCCCCCCCCAACCCCCACCCCAACCCCACCCAACCCCCCTCCACCCCCACCCAACCCCCACCCCCAACCCCCACCCCAACCCCCCAACCCCCCCCAACCCCCACCCCAACCCCCACCCCACCCCCACCCCAACCCCCACTCCAACCCCCACCCCAACCCCCACTCCAACCCCCACCCCAACCCCCACCCCAACCCCCACCCAACCCCCACTCCAAACCCCACCCCACCCCCACCCCAACCCCCACCCAACCCCACTCCAACCCCCACCCCAACCCCCACCCAACCCCCACTCCAACCCCCTCCAACCCCCACCCCAACCCCCACCCCAACCCCCACCCAACCCCCACTCCAACCCCCACCCCACCCCCACCCCACCCCACTCCAACCCCCACTCCAACCCCCTCCCCAACCCCCCCCAACCCCCACTCCAACCCCCACTCCAACCCCCACCCCACCCCCACTCCACCCCCACCCCACCCCCCCCCCAACCCCCCCCACGCCAACCCCCACCCCAACCCCCAACCCCCCAACCCCCACCCAACCCCCACCCCAACCCCCACCCCAACCCCACCCCAACCCCCACTCCAACCCCCACGCCAACCCCCACCCCAACCCCCACCCCAACCCCCCCCCAACCCCCACCCCAACCCCCACCCAACCCCCACCCCAACCCCCACCCAACCCCCACCCCAACCCCCACCCAACCCCCACGCCCAACCCCCACTCCAACCCCAACCCAACCCCCACCCCAACCCCCACTCCAACCCCACCCCAACCCCCACCCCAACCCCCACGCC